CCCCTCAACACTGACCACATTTGGGGTGGCAGCTTTTAGGTGTGAGCATCCTGCTCAACAGACTAGCCAAGACACTACTACTGCACCCAGTGTTTTTGACACCTCAGACGACTGGGCTCAAGCACCACAGCTACATATTTTCAGCCAGTGTTTCATACCGTTTAAAAACCTCAAAGCAACAAAGAATCACAGAACGGGTTGGGTTTTCAAAGGGGTTATCTCGTTCCAACACTCTGCCACGGGAGGGACATGCTCCACCAGGCCAGGTTGCCCAGAGCCCCATCCACGCTGGTCTTCAATACTCCCAGGGATAGAGCATCTACAAGCTGGCAACTCTGGGCAACCTGTGCCAGGGCCTCACCATCCTCCTAGGGAAGAGGTTTTTCCTACAGCAGCAGGTGAACTGTGACACAAGTGGCACACTGCCAGTGGGGCCAAAGACAGCTAGAGGATACCAGGGTGCTCAGCCCAGCTGCACGAGCAATCACAGAATCAGTCAGGTAGGAAAAGACGCCTAAAATCATCGAGTCCAATCTATGACCAAACACCACCCTATCAACCAGGCCGTGGCACCAAGTGCCACAGCCAGTCTTGTGTTCAACACCTCCAGGGTAACTTTATCACCTCCCTGGGCAGCCCGTTTCAATGTCCAATCATCCTTTCTGAGAAGGAATTCCTCCTAATGTGCGAGCTAAACCTTCACTTAAGACTATGTGCCCTTGCACTGCCGCTGGTTGCCTGGGAGAAGAGCCCGAGCCCCACCCAACTGCTACACCCTCCCGTCAGGTGATGGTAGAAAGCGAAAAGGACCCCCGAGCCTCCTCCAGGTTGAGCCCCCCAGCTCCCTCAGCCTCCCCTCATAGGACTTGTACTCCCGACCCTTCGCCAACTCCGCCGCCCAACAAAAGGCAAACAACGGCACCGCCCCCTCCCTCTGTGTGCCCCGGGACGCCTCAGGGCGTCCCTCCGCACCCCTACAGCCGCGTCCTCCGGGCTCACCGTCCACGTCCACCTGCACGGGGGGCCTGTCCGGCACCCACACGTCTCCGTAGGGATCCTCGTTGTTCCAGAGCGGCAGGTAGTGCCTATTATCCCCGCGGAGCGGCTGAAGCGGGCGCTGCCCGTCGGGCGGGGTGGCCGCGGCGGCGGTGGCGGTGCCCCCCGCCCGCTCCAGCCCCTCCAGGCAGAGGAAGCCGCGGTTCAGGCGCTTCTCGTCGTAGCGATACGAGCAGCGCGTGAGGCGGAGGCGCGTGCCCGCCCGCAGGCGCGCGCGCTGGACGAGCCCGTTGAGGCGCGGCGCGAGGTGGCAGCGGTGCCGGCGCGCGCCGTCCGCGAGCGTCACGTCGTACCAGTACCGGGGGGGAGCGGCGGGCGGCGCCTGCGCCAGGTACCGCTCCACCGCCACCACCGTCACGGCCGGCGGCTCCGCGCTCAGCTGCGAGGAGCCTTGCACCTCCTCAAACACCTTCGGCAGACAGAACGCCCCGCCGCCCTCCGCCGAAGCCGCCGTCCGGCTCTCCTCGGCGCGTTCCGGGGTAGGGTCCTGCATGGCAGCGTCCTGGCCGCCCCTCCCGGGCGATAGCCGCGGCCCGGGGCGCTGCCGGGGCCGGCGGCGCCGGCCGCGAGCTCCCGCTGTCATGGCGCGCGCGCGGGGCGGGGCGGGTGCGCGCGCGCCGTTCAAACCGCCAACGGTCGGGGCGGGGGCGGGGACAGCGACACGGGGACACGGATACCGGGACACGGATACCGGGACAGCGGGACAGGAGAGCGGCGGCCGGGGAGCAGCTGCAGTCGGGAGCAGGGACGAAGCTGAGGCCCGGGGAAGCGGTGGGAGAGGTGGCGGCGGGCCGTGCTGGCTCGCGGCCGCCCTCGTCCCGTGGCTGTGGCATTGTGGCCGTGGCATTGTGTTGGTGCCCCGGGGCTCGGGCCGCAGGTCCGTCCGTGGGCAGCGACCAGCGCCTCGGTCCCTGCCGTCTTCTCTGAGGAGCCACTACAGCGGGAGAGAGGGGTAAAAAAAAGGCTAGGAAGAGCAGCAACTTCCAGTCTTTATAGTGTCACTGGTCCAGATAGTCTCTGGAAATCCAGAAGTGCGGCTGCAGCTTAGGCGGAGCTGGCTCAGGTGCTGGGCCAGAGCTGCTCTTCCAGTTTGAGCACAGTTGGAGTCTACTGCCTTTGTGACTGTGGAGCATTTGCCATGAGGAAATCGGAAAACATGTTGCCTAAACCATTTTAAACAGACCGAAAAAACTAGACAAAGAGGTATAAATCACAAGTTTTTGCTGGCCTTTAGAATTCTCTAGGAATGATATTATGTATTTTATGTCACAGTGCTTTCCTTAGTGAGAAAATTTAAAACAAATCAGTCATTTGTATTATGTAGAAGCCAAGTATTGGGTAAAACTTCCACATGGTGTCTTTCTTCCCCAGTAAACAGTCGTGTGAAATGATAAAATGGCATTTACAGTTTAAAAAAATTAACTTTTAAACCTTTTCAATGAGCTTGCACAGGATGTGATTTCACATCACA